ACTCCCAGCTCAACTGGTTATAGTGGTCCTCTAGTTGGATTGAATCCGGCAGCGGCGGCGTAGAAGGGGCGGCGTGCAGATTGACGGACCCTCTCGCTGCCTGACAGGCTCGACGGCTGACTGAGTCGCAGTCCTCGTGTGCAGCTTGGGCTCTTCATGCAGTTGCCAGGCCTGCCGAGCCTTCAGGTAGTCAAAAGGCTCTGCATCCGGGACTCTCGGGGCTACGACCTGCAAAGAATCGAACACTTGCGGATCCGTATCCGGCAGCTCTGTTCACGCCTGAGGTTGAGTGCCCGCCGTTGCGCGTACCACTGCAGGCGCCGTCTCCGAACAAGAGCAGCGCAGGCTGCCGGCTGACCGACAAAACTGCTTGACACCTGACGTGCCTCGGGATGGACTGGATCCGGCAGAGGCGGCGCAGAAGGTGCTGCACTCGGCTTGGGGGCGAAACCAGCAGCTGCCTGAACATCAATGCGAGACGTAACATCCCAAGGATGAACAATTCCCTGTTTCGTTTATGTCACGCACCACCCCGACATCGCTAGCACACCGCTCCTGGGGATGGAATGAATCCAGCAAAGGCGGTGTAGAAGGAGCTGCATTCGGTCTGGCGACCTGAAGATCAATGCCAGGTGCATAAATGCATAAACCAAGATGAGCCACGCCCCGTCCCCTTTACTTGAGGTGTTACGCCGTACTTCGCTTGCGCCTGGAATGGTGTCCTCGCCACCGTAGGTACCGCAGTAGACGCCGTGATCGTCACCGTGGGTCCCGCCAGAACTGCCGGATGCATGGAAGGCGGTGTAGAAGAGGCTGCGCTCGGCTTGGGGGCGAAACCAGCAGCTGCCTGACGATCAATGCGAGACGTACGAGTAACATCCCAATCACTGAGCCATTCCCTGCTTCGTTTATCTCACACCGCATGCCGCGTGGGACAGTACGGACTTATTCGTGACTGGCATGACGTGCCAGCCTCAGTGGGCACCGCCGCAGACGCCACCTCCGAACAGGAGAATCGCAGGCTGCATGCTGACCAACAACTCCCAGCTCAACTGGTTTTAGCGGTCCTCTGGTTGGATTGAATCCGGCAGAGGCGGCGTAGAAGGGGCGGCGATCAGTTTGGCGGAGGCGACGAAGCCGGTGGCCTCACAGTGGCGGTGCAAAAGCGTGTATAGAGACTCGGCGTGAAGCATTTAGAATCACTCCTGACCTGCAGGGGCGGAGTTCGTGGGGCCTGGGTCGGCTCAGGCGCAGCGACCTGGACATCTTGCGTTGGCTGGGCTTGGCTTGGTGTCAGCACCGCCCCAAGCTTTTCTACGGCCTTGCTCTGCACCGGGACAGGGGCATCGGTCGACTTCGCCCGGCGGCGCTGGCGTTTTGGTGGGGTGCGGGGAGCCGTCGTGGGCGGCCGTGGAGCGGGTTCCTGCTAGAAAGCACAAGCTTTCCACGCTGCTCTGCGAATTTTCCCTCCCCAAGGACTCGAAGCCTGGAGCCGCTGTCGAAGCTTCCGGATCAAATCGACGAGGCACTGGGCAGCGCTCTTCTCCTAAACTGAGATGTCGAAAGCAGTCGACCGCCGGACGAAAAGGGCGAGGGCGAGACTTGCCCCCTTCTTCTACGCCACTGTCTCTCTCTCAGATCTGTTTTCCCTACCTGGCAATATGCGCCTTGCTGGGCTGATCTCTCCCTCTTAGTATAATATAGTATAATATAGTACAATATAGCATATCATAGTATAATGTAATAGAATAATATTGATATAATGCATTACCCAGAGACCTTTGCTTCCAAGCTGCCATGGCCCTCAGCGGCAAGACTCGCAGCGACCTTTTCAAATTCGCGGGCACGTCTGGTTCTGATCTGGTTGGAGTTTCAAACGAGGCGCTGGTGTAAGCTTTATTTATGCAGGGTGCATACCGTTATTGTCACAAGCCCAAAGTGCCCAAGCAAGCTTTACCCGGCAAAAGAGAGAAAGAGCGAGCGAACGAGGGAGGGAGTGGAGGGAAGGGGAGGCAGGGAGGGGTAGGGAGAGTCAGCGGCTCAGTGTATTCAAGACAGAATCCGGCATTCGGCCCAGCAGCTTCAGTGAGTGATCGATGAAGAGGTTCACTGTTGAGCTCGGCTCCCGAAGCGCGCGCTCCAGCCACATGACCTTAGGGAAGTCTGGACATTGACTTGCTGATAAAAGTCATAATCATGAACATAGGGGTATAACAATCAGAGGTTTGATATGGTGGAAATATGTCAAAATAATATTCAACACTAGCAACAAGACAAGACTGCTATTCAACATATTAACAATACATGGTATGCCGAGGAATGGTGTCTGGGACTCCGGCTATCTTGGTGACGCCGCCACTCTTCACAAACCGCAGTAGGCGGTTGGCCTTCCCCTCTGTGAGGCGTATGGCTTCCATGCACTCTGTCTTGGTCGCGAGGTCAAGATCCGACCGCATGAAGTTCACAAAGCCGCTAACTTGGCCCTTGCCGATGCCTCGGCTGCTTCGGGGGCTGTTCACATCGAACCGCAAAGACAGGAGCCCCATGCCAGCCCTCCTTCCCACCCCTCCATTTCCATCTTTCATGGCAAGGTGCACCCAGAGCGATCCAAGAACGAACTGAGGACCGTCGGTGGCTTGCCTTAGCGAACGCACTCCTTGGCATGAGCCTTCTCATGTGTGCCTGCCTAGGGCCTACATTACGGCTACTACTTGCTCCAAGGCCCGCTTGGCCTGTCTGAGTCCATTACTACACCCCGATGAGTGCTGTCACTTAGTAGACCCCCACTATGCCACTCCACTGTCGCAGCAGTGTCGCGAGTGGTCGAGGCGGCCGCTACTCAACAAGTGCGAAATGCCCTGGATTCCGAAGCTTGCTGTACTCTGCACGACGATCTAAGCTCCAGGCTATTCCGCGACATAGCCCCAGGCTCCAGAATAACGATCTTGTCATGCCCGTCTCTCCTGCGTCTCCATCAAGCCCTTCGAGACCGAAGGCGTTGCCATGCGCGATGCGGCTGCCATAGTACTCGGGGTGGCATGTGCTACAAGTTTTATGCCTACAGTAGCAGCGCATCTGGAAAGAAATGTGGGGCTTGACTGGCTGTGCAGGCGAATTGGAAGGCGGGTAGTTTGTCTTGCACTTCCATATGCAGACTTCCCGCTCGGTTGTGGCTTGCTTTGCGTTGCACGCGGAATCGATGGCATGAGCCAAAAAGCGGCAAAAACAAAAGATGCCGCCTGACTATGGGGCAGATTCACACTGCAGGAACTCATGTGGATGTGCCAATGTGCAAGGAGGAAGCCAGCTCGGGTCCAGCAGCACGTCCCACACCTTGGAATCCTTTGACTTGCTGCTGCCTGGGGTGTTCAGGCGAAAGGGAATCATACCCTAAACCCTAAACCCTAATGCAACGCTGCGAGAGCACGGGCATTTCGACACATTGCCTGAGAGTGCCAGAGACAAGGCGGCAGCCTTAGAAGGAAGCCAGGACTGCAGTATACTACTGTTGATGATATAAATCCTGCATTACCTTCAGGACCCTAAACTATGGGAATTATGGCATATTCCTTATTATGGGGTAATGCAGGATTTATATCATCCACCGTATGTCGGGCTCTGCGGCCCCAGCAGACTTGAAGCACCAGAAGTCGACACCTCCAAACTTCCCAGTGGCGTCAGATTCTGTAGACTTTTTTGCACAGAGCTCGGCCGCGCACTGTTCTGCAAGACTTCCGACAGCAGAGCATCTACCTGCAGCTTGTGAATGAGAAGAGTTCAGGGAGTAGTTTCGAAGTCTCCTGTGAGGCTGTGCCTCATCGCCACTGGCAGTCTGCAGTGCAGGAAAACTACCAGCATCCTGACCCCAACCGTGCCTGAGCACTCGAGACACAAGTCATGTCATGTCCGATTTGGTGCTGCGCGATGGCGGCGATGCTTCCACCAGGCTGCAGGCGTCAGAAGAATCGGCAGCTTTGTCAGCTCCGCCGCCTGCGACACACTGTCGCCATCTTGAAATCCACAGCGGATCCTTTCAAAAAACCGCCTTCTCGCTGAGAGCTTCAGCTGCAGCACGCCGCGTTTGAGGATCCTCAGTAAGGTCGGGGCAATTCAGCACAGGCGGGGAGAGTGAGATTCTACACCTTGTGTATAACCCCACAAAACAAATGGCCAACGTGGCCTCATGAGATGGAAATGGAAACCTCAGCACTGAGTCTTGCAGCCCGCCTTGTCTGCCAAAGCCCGCAACAGTGGCAGAAGCAGGGCGCGTCGAGGAAACTTAGCACCCAGTCAACATCGCAAGGTGACACCCCGAATGTCTCAACTTCTGAGAAACTCGCATGCAAGCGGCGCATGTCTATCTCTGCCAGGCCTCACTGGTCCAACTTAAACCTTCTTGCAGCTTCTTCTCTCCAAGCACCAGCAGACGGTCTACATTTTCGAGCACGGCATCCATCAATACAGCTCATCCCGTATCTCCAACAGCCCTATGTCGCTGCCGCTGATGGCAAGATCGGGCGCATCCTTAGACGAGTCATTGCTGTCTGGTCCGATGACTCAACTGGTTCACGTCCGAGCAGCAGCTTTCAGCACCGCTGCTGCTTGCTCCGCACTGTTCAACGGGGAGCCCTTCCTCAGCAGTGAGTTGGATTTGCCGGCTCCAGGTCTGATGCTCCAACGGCGGCCAAGCATCTGCACTATGACGGGAGAACCCTCCGCCTTCATCAACAGTTCCTGGTGCGGGGAACCCAGTGCAGCAATGCATCCAGGAAATTGCAAGGCGTGCTGGCCGAGCTTCCGCCACGCGTGAACTCGCCGGCGGCGACACACGTCTCTGCAGCATCGCGCTGTATTCCTCCATCCCAGAGTTCAGAGTCGACAACCATTTCTCTGCCGGAAGCTCCGGATGCCAGAAACGGATGAGCAGGACGATCCTCAAGCTTGCCACGGCCATCTCTGATGCAGGGAACCCGACAATCTCAGCTCCCGGCCTGACACTATTTCCATCATTGACCACCTGAAGGCAGTGAAGAGTGCGACATGTTCAAATCATCTCAGTGAAGCACGTTGACACATCTATCAGAAGCAAGGATTCTTTATTGCAACTGTCGGCCTCATGCTCGTAGCTGTCGTCGAAAAAGATGCATCGTCCCTCCTTGCTAAGGTCTGGATTGAAGCACTTGAATACTCGACCATGCACAGCAAAACCCTCAACCCTTTTGCAACAGGCCAACCCTCAACCCTAAACCCTAAGCCCTAAACTTTAAACCCTAAACCCTAAGCCCTAAACTTTAAACCCTAAACCATAAAGCCGATCCCGCACCTCCCAAGTGCCCAAGTCTGGTCCCACGCGTACTCGGGCCCCTTCCGGGCACACGAGCCCCAGATGACACGTCAGGCGGACGTTGCTCGAAGCACCTAAAGTGGTGCCATAAAGACGCGAAACATCATGGGGGTATATTGTGGGAAAGTAAGTATTCCATATAGATAGATAGACAGATAGATAGACAGATGGATAGATAGATGTTTGTATATTATATATACATATATATATATATACACATGTAGACGTATAGCTATATCATGTACAGAATATAGGTACATATATAGATATGTATTTATTTATTTAACAGATTACAGATCCTTCCAAGCAGGAAAACGCACTGTACTTTTGTGGAAGCGGCAATGCGGCGTCAGCTTTGTACCCGGAGAGATGGCGGACAAGATGATCTCACCGACCTCAGATTTCCCAAACCCTACTCTGCGTCCGGCATAACGCTTCTTTGCAAACCAAACTGCAAGGAGCTGTGCAAATGACATGACACCCTTGACTATGCTTTTGGCCCAGGGAACCCCGATCTTCGCCATGGCCACGGCCCCTGGCAGAAGGGACTCCAAGAGCTCGCAGGTCTTCGGAAAGAGCTTCAGCACCTGGTGCGGAAGAGCTGCCACCAGACTCTACTTCCTCATATCGGGGTTTGAGAGGGAACAAACCCTAAACCCTAAACCCTGTCAACCCCCTAAACCCTAAACCCTATAAGCCCTAAACCCTAAACCCTAAACAAGACTAATTACTCTTGTTGAACACTGCCTCGGGGTTTGCGGTGGATTTGCTCTGGTCCTGCGCGGAGTACAGAAGGAACTCCCTCCACTCGCCGCCCGGAGCCACAATGTCTCCTAAGCTTCTGCGATCCGCACTTGCGAAGCTGCAAGATCGGAGCTGGAGAGAATCGAATCGAAGATGCAGCCGGACCACCATCTTGCGAGGCCCTCTCCTCAGAGCTTGCTCTCTGAGGTTCGGGCTTTCTTTTTTCTATCGGTTCCCTTAGCGTCTAAAGTCTAAAGGCCGAGATTTCGGGCTCCCTGGATACGAACCTCTTCCCTGCTTCTGCGGCCAGAACTCATCCCCAACTCGTACCCAGCTCTGCGGCATCTTCCCACCATGGTCTCCTCGCTCGCCGAAGAGCTCCAGCATCTCCGCCTTCAACCCGAAACGTACATAGACCCCCTGCAAAAAAACAACTGGCAGAAGATGGTTGGATATGATACAAAACTGTGAAAAGCACCGTGCCCATGCTTCCACTTTACAAGAACGACTCTACCACGTCGCCTTTATGGCAGGGTAGGCACCCTCCAGGTCAGCCGCCCACGGAAAGTCCTCCCGCGCCCACCAGGGTTTTGAGGTCAAGCCTGTCATGGGGCCAGCATAATTGGAATTAGAACGGGATTCTGGGGGGGGAATCGTTGGATTACACTATGGAACATTAAGAAATATACAGTTACATACTATTTGCAACTAGTTATGCTTTGAATTTGAAGCTTCTCTCTTGTTTTTTGGTGCTGCCCCTCCCCTCCTCGTACAAAGATTGGCGGTCGCTGCCACTCGTCTGCCCAGATGGCTCCGGCCATTACAGCCTGGCACGCCACTCGCCGAGCCTCCCCGCGCCTGTCGTGAGCAAGCACCCAGAGAGCCCAATACCCCCTGAAGTAAGGAATCGACCTTAGAATTATAGGAGCCTTCATATTATGATTTAAGGAAGATTCCTTAATTAAGGGGTATTGGGCGCTCTGGGCATGGGCAAAGCTGTAGTAGTGACTGCGGTGCCGCGGCTCCGTAAGGTCTGTTCAGCAACCACATATTTACGACAGGCAGGAGCCCAAAAAAACGAACCTGTAGTTACAGCATCTGACCATATCTTACCGCCTTAACCGATGTATAGGTATCCCCATCTAGTTACTTTGCACTTTGATGGCTGTCGTTGTCGGCTTCGGACTCGGAAAATCCCGCGATGCCTGCCGGCAGACTCCAGGAAAAGGACTAGCTCCAAGTAGCCGTGGCCGCTCTCAGGTTCAGCCTCAATCACCTGAGCAACCAGAGGAAAGCAGCCGCGGTGGCCACCAGAGCAATCGAGCGTGGCGCTGAGCGAATGCAGCTGGCCTGTCGGTAGAACTGCTCAGCTTCTGCATGCCGCCCTGCATGATAAAGCAGCGTCGCCAGGAAGAAAAGCCGCTTTGGGTCACTGGGATCGGCCTGCCTCGTCTTTAGGAAAATCTGACATAAAGCGAGGTCTCTCTTGATTCAGCCAGGGCACACAGATGTCTCAAAGGCCCAAAGCCCTGCCACTGTCTGTGGATTGGCTTTCACCTCGCGGGGTTCCGGCACCGAGTGCCCTCTGACATTTTATCCCTGGCGGCCTCTAGCAAGTATTGTGCAACACCTTGGGCCCAAAGCTCGTCCGCATCCATGGCGACTGTGAGCTTGCTGCTGTGTATCTATTAGGATCCTTGAGTCAAGAAATCTTCAGCTAGGGATAAGGCTATGAATTCAACGAATTCGCGGCTTCTCCTCGCCATTCTCGCCATTACCAAGGCTGTTGCTTTTTGGCCCGGCTGCGACATTCCACAGGCCTGCCCTGTGACGCAAATACATGACACGCAGCCAAACTCCAATCGTGCCTGCTGTGGCCCTTCTGCGAACGCAGGGGTCCTTCAGGCAGGCAAGCTTCTACGAGCTTCTACGATGCCTGCATTTTTTGAACCCGACGAACCATATGGCGGAAAGACGGCAAGATACGACAAGAGATACTCTCATGATATCTCTCGCGCCTCGTCGGCCATGAGATCTGCTAGCGCTTTGGCCGCCATCTCAACCTGCGCTAGGCACTCACGCAGATTCGGCCGCACCGCTCAGCACAACTTCTATCCCGGGGCTGGGACACTGCCAGGATACCTACCTTGCGCAGACACCATTTATTGCCACATGCCACACAAGTTGTCAACATACAAGGAGAGACCCAGAGACTCTCTAGAGAGAGAGAGAGAGAGAGAGAGAGAGAGAGAGAGAGAGAGAGAGACAGAGCGAGGGAGCGAGGGAGCGCGATCTCACGGTGACTATCTGACTATCTGGGCACCCGTGCGCGAGATGCTCACGACGGCAAAGACGAGGGAAAGACGTACCTGGCAATACGCGGACCATGCAGGGCAGCTACACTACCTTGCCCCACAAGTGGGGTTCCAACAACGCCACATTACTCACGTGGTCCCGCGAATAAGCCGACGCATGGGACGAGACGGTTGCTGGAAGACACCCTTTTGTATCCGAACGCTCCGGCTGTGTGATTAGCATGCCTAGCTAGTGGTCTGCTACATTGGACATGGTGAAATTTGACGGCTACAAAACTGCATAGATGAGCGCACAAGCGCCAGGTGCGTGCATGGCTGGCCACCGCAGCATTGCAACACCGAGGGGGTTGCTAGAGCTAGCGCTGCAGGACTGTGCAGGAATACCTATGGACTCGATGCAGCTAGACTTCACAGGAGCCTCCACGTGACGCCTCCATTGTGAAAGAGCCCTTTTTCGGCTTCAGGAGCTGAGCTACGAGGAAGGCCTTCCTTCGAGCCTTGCCTCACTTTGCCTCCAAGTACACGGTGCCTTGGTTGCCCACGACCTGGGAGTCGCAGACTAGCAAGGCCAGTATCCGAACCTAGTTGACGCCAAGCTCGTCGCCGTGGCCCAACCAACAGCGCCATCGGAGGTTGCACGACATCGGATTCGAGTCAGCCCAGACCTCATCAACGAATTCGCGATAGTCAAGGACGTGGCGCTCTCCCCGCTCTGCAGCACGCATCAATCGGACAAGCATGCATAAGCATGGCTACAAGTTTCGGCTGATGCGACACACAGCAAATTCGGATGCTTGATGGGAGAAGGTTCTACACCCTCCGTTCCAGCAGCACCTATCTTGCTTCAAATAGCCGACACCACAAACCATGGGTCCCAATAAGGCCTGCAAACCAGGCCCCGGGCTCCTCGTGCTTCTTCATCCAAGACCGAGCCTCCACAATCTCCCCGAGCTTTAGCCGCCGGTCCTCCTGTCAAAGCCAAAGCACTCGAAGGCTTTCTTACAGAATCCTGGCGAAGCAGAGAAGCTCTTTTTTTGGACCCTGCGCAGGAGACTTCTTCAAGTCGAACAAGCGAGTGTGTCTCGTCAGACGGAGAGCCATCACGGAGGGTTGGATGCACGTGGCGTCGTCGGTCACTGGTGCCCTTCCCGAGCACTGCGGGCCTCACGGCCCTGAAAGCCTTGGCCGCCTTCACCGAACTGCCGGCCACGCAGAGAAGGCGATGACCTCCAACACGCCCCGCCATAAGCACCATCCACGCACGTGCAGCACGCACTGCCTCCACCTGACCTTCCTCTGCCCCCCCTCTAAGCCACTAAGCCGGGAAGGGCTTTACGAGGCCCTTGCCTGGCAGGCGACTCAGATGGCCGGCGGCAAAGGCTCTCGCAAGGCGCCAGGAGACGGGCCAAAGATCCAGGGCAAAGGTGCCCATGTAGGTCAGCTCACCGATGCGAGGGCCCCAGAACCGGTCCCCCAGGAGCCAATCCACCCGCAACTCGTCCAGGCCCACTCTTTGCGCCAAGAGCTCCGAGTCGCTCCGAATGGCTTCCCAGCTCTCAGATAAGGATCGAAGCAGGAGCTCCAAGGCAGCAGCCGGAAGCGGCTCCCACAAACCATGGCCTTTCTTCAGCAGGCCAGGCAACTTCGGATCCCAGAGCTGCACAGCTCCACTGCTCGAAACCCACAAGGCCATGGGATGGGAGTTCAAACAGCCACCGACCACCACGCCGAACAGGACTTGCACCTCAGGCGGGGACTCAGCCTTCCACTTTGCCGGAATTCAGCCCCGCAACCCCCATATCTCCGACCAAGCCCACAGGTCCACATCCTCCCCTCTCATGAGCTCTCCGAGCGGCTTTGAGTTCCAGCGGCTTCATGAGCTTCTTCCTTGCATCCGGCGCGAAGTCCATGAGGGCGTAGAGAGGCTGCAGCAATGCGCCCCTCGGGACAGCGTTTTGGTTCCAGGACTCTTTCTTCCACGAAGGGTCATCCCCATCCAATGCCAAGTCGACGCTTTCCAAGACTGCTTCTGGCCCGTCCTCTCCAGATCTTGCACGGCACAGCTTGCGAAAGTGAATGTGCCTCTCTACACGCTCTGCCCGCCTCCATGGGACTGGGAAACATCGACACAAACTTGGAATTCGATCCGTGGCGCGGCTTGATCACCTGTCCAGCATGCCGATCAGCCACGAGGTCTGACCTGTAAAAGGCCCGACCGTCGAAAGCTCAGCCAAGAAACCAAGGGAGTGTTCAGCCCGACCTGGGCCATGGCCGCTGCGTGAAGCGCCTGCCGTAGGAACCCCAAAATTGACGAGGCCATGGATGTTAAGGAGTCTCGGCTTTAGGGTTTTAGGGTTTTAGGGTGTAGGGTGTAAGCCCCTTTCGAGCCTGGCGACCTTCACGAGTCTGCTCGCCGTGGCCTCATCTGGAAACCCTGTGCCAGTGATGGGTCCATTGATGCCGGAAGTCTTTGTGCAGGCCACGTGGCTCAGAATCGGCAGATGACGCTCTTCTCCCAAGACATCGGATGTCATGGCCACCTCCCGTCGTACCACTATCCATGCTCTCATCTTCTGGCCCCCCCAGTGCTGCCAAGTGGGAAGGTCGGCAAAAAAACAGCGGACTGAAGGTAGCTTCCAACTTCCCCCTACCTGCAGGACTTTGTCGTCGAGCCAAACCAGGCCTCGATTCTTTGCCTCGCAGCAGGAGGAATGGCCACAGCCCCCTTGTGCCAAAGCCACGTGGCCTTGTAGGACAGGCCGATGCGCTTGTTCATGATGCACCGCCAATCTTTGCAGTTCTTTCCTCGCACCAGAACAAAAAAGCAAGCATCAAGTTAAAATACCAAGGCTGGGCCATGCATGAGCCAGGAATAATTAAAAAAAAAAAAGGGCCCCGAACCCCATAAAACCTAAATTTTAGTTTTTTAGGGGATTCGGGGCCCCTTTTGTTAGTCACTAAAACCCCTAAAAGCTAACAAAGCAAAGGAGCTTTGGCCCGGCTCCATCACCTGCAGAGCTCGGTGAAGAACTCGGGCTCTGCAGAGTTCGGTTCGTGGCCGGGGAGGTACATTACCCATAATAAGGAATATACCATAATTCCCATAGTCTCGACTCGTTTAAGGTCCGTAAGGTAATGCAGGATTTATATCATCAACAGTATATAGGGCGTAGACACTCACACTCGGATGAATCCAGGCGAGGTCTGCAGGGCTGGGCCAGCCTCATGCAAGTAGTCCACAAGGTCAGGCACCGGTTCCTCAAGCGGCAGTCGCACTGTCATGCAAATAGCATGCATACCAGTTCGTTGCTATTCGAAGCAGTAAAGCTGTGAGGCGGCCAGGTTGCACATGCCACATGCAACTCCATGTGAACTGCAGCACGGGCGGCACGGGAGAAGTCCTGCGACGTCGGCCATTGTTTCAAGGTGCCTGAGGCCTCCGAAGCACGAAGATTTTCGCGAAGGGAGTGTTCCCACTCCTCCTCCATAGACAACAGAAGATCTGCATACACCAGCTGCAGCAGCTTGCCCGCGAAGCCATTACCTCTCATCGTGTCTACATTGTCGCTGGTTCAACTAAAGCCAGTCTCAACAGCCAACACTTCGTTGCAGGATTTCGCAGGCCTGCCGCTCCACCTGCGTCGGGCAGCATTGCTTCATTGCTTGCCAGGTTGACAAGGTCTTCGCGCCCGCCCTGTTGGAATGATTCGTCGCCCATGCTCGACACACAGCCTGCGTCCTTCGTCAGAGCAGAGGTGGAAATCAGTGCGACTTTAAGCGTACTTATCTGGAATCCGCAACCAAAATTCTAGTTATTTCGAGCCTGCATGTTCAAAGCGGTATACACCTATCAACGTAATGTCCTGACCGGTCCTCTGCTTCAGCAGTAGGTCAGCAGCCAACACAACCAGGGCCATGATGCTTTGACGGTCCTCATGATGTCCTTACCCTCGCGCTTCCTGCGCTCGCGCTCCCACGCAAACTCGAGGAGCAAAAGAGGCGTGGCACTCTTCGAAGTCGAAGCGACAACCTGGGGCCCTCTAACTCCAAGGCTGCTTGAAATCCGCTCCCCCGGGCCTCTCGGACATGGCTTCTTTCACTGCTCAGGGATGAGACGCGAGATCTTCATGGCTCCCGAAAGGCGGAGTCTGGACCAGATCTAAGGGTTTAGGGGTTTAGGGGTTTAGGGGTTTAGGTTTTAGGGTTTAGGGCATCTGCCAGCCGACACATTGACGGAAGTCTTGCAGGAGAACACACAAGACATGCGGGATGCCGGCAGGACAGGAAGGCTCGACAGCAGCGAGGCTCCTTTGGCGTCTCTTTGGCGGCACCGATCTCGAAGTCATCCGTCAGAAGCGTTTCCTGTGTGAACTTGAAGGCTACGATTCGTTCCGCTCATCATCCCCGTAAGGATGTCGCTCAGGAACCATATCCATGAACATGCCAGCATCATTCGGCACTTAATGGCCTTGACTACCTTGAAGGTGCCTCCACCGTCCTGGGCGATCAGGCAGGCACGTCGGCGTGAGATCGACTGCGTTCATTTTATTCGGCATAAAGCTCTCCTGAAGATAGTCTGTCCCTTGGTTGCCCGAGATGGTGGCCCAACCTACATCGAAGCAGATGTTCAGGCAGTCTGAGCAGAATGGTCTCTAACACGCCTTCGGTCCCATCTGCAAGGAGACGGACCTGCCTGGACAGAAAGAAGCAAAGGTCCAAAGACAGACGGCAATCAGGAACCATAGTGAAATCGCAAGCTAGGCTATCGGCACTCGCATCACGTCCACCTCGGGCTCCTGCCGCCGAGAGTTCACAGAATGTGGAACAAGTGATGACTGGAGTTTTCCGTATACTCCTTCTGTTCCTACCTGTTGGGACAGGCGGCATCCTGTTCAAGACCTGCGCAACCGCACCTTCGTCGGAGGGCCGAGGACTTCGACCACGTCACCAACCTCCAATTTGCGGAGGCTGTTGGCCTTGATGCTGACCTTGTGCGGTGCCGTCATCAAGCCGGCAATCTCATGCCTATGCCGAAGCCGTGGTGTGGCAGCATGACATAAATCTCACAGGCAGCTTGAAGGAGCACACAGCTTCTGCTAGAGTATCAGGCTCTCATGGTCTAGGCTTCCCACGCCATCGGTGATTGCAGTCTTGCCGACGACCTTCATGAATCTCCGCCTTGGTTCCACTGACGCTTGCACCTCGTCTTGCCTACATCCCCGGCAGCTGTGATTTTTGTTGCAAGCCCCGAAGTAAGGATCCTGATTTACATACGTCCCTAAGAACAGCTTCGTGAAGGAGAAATTCTCAGTCATGGGGTCGGCGGTTACACTGGATGGCGAAGCGCAAACCGTGAGATCACACGTCCTGAAGGCTGCCCGCTCTCTTTCACAAGAAAAAGTAGTCAGCTGCGCATGACGGTACGAGACAAGCTCAGGCTGGGAGCTGCAACAGTCTTCCGTATGATTCAACATACCAGCCATTTCAGTCTGCGAGCTCCTCAGGAAGCTCTTCCACATGCTCGTGCGTGGTGCCGGCCGAACTTAATGTTGCCTAGGGCCCATGAATACCATATAGCGACTGCGATGATATGAACGCACGTTTCGAAACGGAAGCCACATGTCATTGAAAAATGCAGGCAAAGGAAGAAAAGAGAGCTCGCCTAAGTCTTCCAGCGCAGGACTCCGAGTGCAGGGCAGAATCTCAGCTACCCGTTCCTGCGGGAGGCCGGCTGCCAGTCAAAACAACAGTCGCAACCTGGCAACCCTCGTGAAAAGCAGAATCTTGGCATCCTCATGCATGCAACTGTCCGAGGAAGCTTCTCTACTGTGAACATCTGCTAACAGTGCCGGCATGCTCCTCATTCAGCGATCCATTGCCAGCTTCATCCCAAAATGTGAAGAGCCTCTGCAGGTCCTCGCGCTTGGATCGGCGGTGTTGTGATCACGCGACTCAAAGGACGGATTGAAGGGGCTTTTGCCAGAGATGCCTAGAGCTTTTCATCAAACACGCAGCGTCGGGGCGGCTCGTGGTTGGATTAGACGATCGAGGTCTGAGGTTTGTCTGAGTGCTACTGTCTGGTGCCGGACGACCGCCTCTTTGGTGGGGAAGTCTGCCGCTTCGCCGTTGGTCGACTCCTGCACAGCACTGAAGATTGCAGCCAAGTCCCCGTGCATACCCCGACTCTCTTCGAGTCAGTCTCAGTACCATCTCCATGCTCGACTCCTTCTCACACTCCCCGAAGAAACTAATGAAGGAGGACTCGTCCACAGCGGACTCCTGGCACGGCGACAGCAGTTCAAGGAATTCACCTTTTCCTGGACGAACAAAAACAAACCACGGAAGGTAAAGAGCACAGCCGTCAGGTGCACAAGATGCATCGAGCAAGCTGTGACAGCTGACCGCCCCGCACCATCACCAGAACGGCCGCCGCTTTTTCGAGTTGGTGTGGTGGCGCGCTTCTGAAGCCGAAGCGGGCCCGATTCGCTTTCTGCGCGCACGAAAGCCTCACCGCCCCCACTTGGCCGCCCTGAGCACGCCGCGTTGGGGGTTGTCCCGCTGCAGGATCGAAAGCGGCGAACCGGCATTGGCTAGAATACTTCCGTGAGTCACGGCCACGCTCTGTCAGGGTGCTGAGAGCTTGCACTATTCCGTCACACAGCGCAAGGATGCTTCAGTGTTATGACACGCACACGGCGATCGTCCTCACCAGAAGTTGCCCTCGGCTGCGCGCATTGTAGCAGAAACAGGGCTCACAAGAACAAGAAGTGAATCCTCGGGATGGTGCATTTTGGCGAAAACATCGTCGTTGGATACGTCTTTGGCCTCAGTGCCCAAGCAGGAGCATATACCTTCCCACTTTTACAGCATACGGGATTGTCCTTAGCTATCTCGACTTCTCTGCCTCGGTTCTGCAGAAGCATCAAAAAATCCTGCCTTCTTGAGTCTTCAGAGCCGGCATACCCTTCCAGACATTTTCACTTGACCTTCGTGAGAAGTCATGCAGCCGAGGCAGCTGCCGGGTCTGCAACTAGCGAGATGCCGTGAACTACGAACACCGCCCTAACTAACGGGCTCGACTTTCCGAAAATACTGTTGCACATGTTACTCTCGTGTTGTAGGAGCCCTTCTGCCCCTGTCAGCGACGGCCTTCGGCCAGAGCACGCCTTCAAAAGGGTCACAGCTCTCTGACAGCCGGTGGTCTGCCATCAGCTCGTAGACACACACCAGGATTCGTCTCAGACCAACATGGCCATAACAGGCTGTGTACAGTGGGGCACACGAAGCTATTGCAGAGATTGCAGAGTCGGGAGATCCTCTCGATGATCCTCATGAATCTTCTGGCCTGTGACGGCTCCGTGACCCCTGCTTGGCATCAGGGCTGGAGATTTTACAGAATCTCTGCCTGATGCGGAAAATAGACTTTCTACTTCGCAAGGGTCTCTGGCAAGCAGCAAAATCTGACCTTGCACACTTGCAATGTCGCCGCGGTACACCAGACAAAAAGCAGAAGCACAGCTTGCAGCCAATCTGCCTGAGCCAGAAGATCACCAAACACCTGCATGCTGTGGACGAAAACGGAGCATGTATAAAGCACATGTTCCGTCCGTGTTATCTTTCACAGCCTACCGTCCGTCGCTCCTACGACTCTACAAACAGGCTCGTCCTTCATGGGTCCTCGGACGTGTCAGCGCATTTGTGGTCGTATCCCTACCGACGACGCTAACTGATGAGCTTTTCTCGCGCCTCCCAGCTTGCTCTTGGCTTCAGCGTTCATGCGGCCGGTGGTGAGCAGCCAGTTCTGGGCCTCCAAATAGTTCGTCGGGGCAATTCCTCAGCGACCCACGAAACGGCGCAGTCCGCTGAACTCGACACAACACTTGCTGCCAAGGTGCGGAGGGCCTGGTTCCAGTAGAGGGCTGCCTTGTCCTCAGCAATTTGGAGGCTGCTGCGCTTCTTTCGGCGTTTCTCAGCCTTCCGGGTGCAATCGTGCCCAGGCTCGTAAAGGACGGTGGACTTGTCCAAAACACCCTTCTTCTCAGCTCGCACCGCCTGATCGTGGTAGATGACCTAAGTGGAACCAGGCACAACTTAAGATCAAAGGCGGCCGAAAACAGAAGAGCTCGACTAGAGGCTTGGTTCGCTAACTAGGCCGACAAGCGCAGCCCAGGAGCCGCGATGTTGTTGTACGCCTCCCAGGCTACTTCCACGTCTAAAAACAGAAGTCCTAATACCATTACTAGTTGTATATACATATTCAGCAACGATACCAATAATCATGGTAATAAACACTGCCGCTCTTCCAAGCCACTGGCACGCCAACCCCCAGGCCTGGCAAAGCTCCTTGTTCTGGTCCAAAGCAAGGTGGTAGTACTTGACTGCCTCGCAGGTGGCAACTGCCTGCCTCCCTAGGCAACAGGGCAACACACAGTTCGGCCTTCACGTATTCACCGTTGGAGCCGAAGATAATACCCAGGTTGTAGAAAATGTAGCTCCTGTCGATCCTGAATTCTTCCGGACCATGCAGCTATATGTAGCTAAAGCTCGAACCATGAGCATCGTTATGCATCGTTGCACTGCGAAGCAAGCATACGCTCAGACAGTGCTGATTATGCTTGACTGCCAGTGCGTGCTGAGAGACGGGTCTTCCTCCAACTTCAGCGCCTGCCAGAGCTTTACTCCCTGAGACCATGTACGCAAGATGGCGCAGGGACTACTTAGTCCACCTCCGCATAGCTTCGGAGCGCCATGGAATAGTCGCCCGACACCTGCCACTTCGAAGGGATCACTTCGACAAGAAAAGCTTCTTACTTCGACCCACGACTTCGTCTGCATCCGACCTGAGCTGCCATGCCATCACCTCGGCTCGACAGCCACGAAAGCTTCTCGTTCAACGCACACGCCACACTGCCAAGATCTGCCAAGTGCAAGTGGAAGGCGATAAAACTGATAGGCATCCTTCTCTTGCTGAGAGAGCGGAATCAAGCCAATCACAACATCCGTCCTCAGTCTGTCTTGCTTCTTTTCCTTCACTCCATGAACGGAGGGTCCTGTGATTGAAGCACGCCTTTTCCCGGTGTCTTCACTTCTTCCTCTCGTTGTCCGTGTGTCGTTTGTTTTGAATTGGTTCGAGCATCTGTTTTTACGATACCTTCATGTCTTGAGAATTACTCCACCTTGAAGCTCCCTAGCAAATCTGGGGCATTGCTAAGTTTTCTGAAGAGGCATCTAAGTCCTATGGCAGCAAAGGCTCATGGCGGTGAAGGCCTTGTCAATAAAGTTGTCACCTCAAGTGGTACGGAGATTTCGCTGTTTCTTATCCATCTTCTAAACCAGGCAAACTGAAAGTGCGGAGAAAGCGCTCTTGTCGTTCACGCTGACTGCTTGCATCTGCCTGCGGGCAGTGGCCAAAGCAGGCACAGATAACCCAAGCGCTTCACCCGTGTCTGGGCTTCCCGACACGCGCGGCTGGGCAGCACTTCGGCCGGCGGCAGACACGAAGCTGCGCGCAGCCGAGAGACTGAAGATGCCTAGCAAAGGGGAGTCACACGCGCCGGTGCAGCGCCCATCGGTTTGAGTCGATAGTCGTGAGCGGGGCTTGCTCAACGACTGCTGGGCAACTGGGCTTCAGATTGAGGTGCCTTATCGTTGCAAGGGGCGAGCCAACTAAACGCCATGGCGCCATCCAGCTCATTCAACTGCACCCGGTCTTTTGTCGAAGCGCGAGGAGCTAAAGGCCAACAGCAAACAATCCCTAGGACGACGCTACGGTTCAGAAGCCTGTCAGCAGCATGGTGAGGTTGCTACGCTTGTTGCCTATAGAGCAGAAGGCACAATTGCAGGTCAACTTCCACCAGGTGCTTGCAGACTGTTCAATGATCCTCCCGCTTTGATGAAAGGTCTGCCGAGCTGTGCAGCCACGGTTGCCGGCAGCGACAGCTGCCAGGCAAAGGGCTCGTCGCAGCGGTGCAGCCATGAGTCCTGTTGAATCCCCGTCAGGGTTTTGATGATAAGATGGCAATGCCACGCTCCCTCCCTGCACGGCCTGCTGTCAATGAACGCCGGCCAGGTCACAATGCCTTCTTTCGAGGCTGACTGCTCAGTCTCGAGCCGAAATTTGAAGAGCGACCGCGGCTTTTCCTACATCATGCCCCACCACTCGATGATGCTAACGCAGCAAGCCCCTCTACTCTACTCACTACTCATATATACTTATTATGCAAAGCTCATCACACCCCACCCCAAGCGAGTTCGCTGAAAACAAGTTCGGGTTCACTGGATGAACCTTCGCCGCGTGCTGGGCTACTGGCTTTCTGGAACTGTCGGATAATGGCAAGGGCTCTCCTGCAGCAGCAAAGGTGTCGAGGTAGGTAAACTATGGATGGAGCTCTGCAGAACTTCATAGGTGTGATGTCGTCGTGCGTCAGCCTTGCCTTGCACGGCCCATCCCGGCCCCTTCCCCGACAGGCCTGGCGAGCTTCTCCAACTCCTCGCGGTTGCGCTGGTCCGCCGTCATGCGCTGCCGCTTCGTGAATTGGCCTCGGCGAGGTCGCTTTGCGGGGGCCTTGCGGCTTTAAAACACAGGGGCACCGGCTGCTCTGCGCCGTCGCTCGTTCTGCTGTCTTCAGCTTCGAATACCTTACCAAAGCACGCTGCACTGATGTGCCCCCCGGACATTCCAGGGCCGAGCGGCATTGGCCTGAAGACCTCCTCCAGCCAATGCACGACCTCTGCGTCGGCTTCCTCCTGTGGGAAGACTTTTGTGCAATAAGCAGTCAAGCAAGATCCAGCAAGCAAAACCCTGCGGGTCCTTCGCATCAAACATTGCTTTTCTGGAGCTTGCAATCTTCTGGTTGGCCTCCTCCGACCTGTGGGGTTTGGCTTGTTTTGAAGGCTCTCTCTTTGCAACAGCAATGGGTGGCCGGCGTGGCTTCTATCGAATCGAGCTTTGCGATCCTGGGCAGGGCAGGCAGTACTGCAAGTACAGCCTCCAACGAAAGGGCAAGCAGATGGTGCAAAGACCTTGCATGTGCAACTCCTGTCGCTTGAAAGCCAAGCGTCAGCTCGCTAGGTTTCTGGTCTGGAGCTTTCAATGCTTCAGCAGCCTCCTGCGTGGGGCGATGCAGGACTTCGACTTGCACTGACTACGCAAGCCAACAGAACTGCGACCATCCAAGCGAGTCATCTCGGTTTTACTCTTTGTGACGCTTCCGGCGTTTGCCTTCTGGAGTTCCGTCCTGAGGTCGCACAGGTCACGGCACATGCAAGAAAACAAGCCAGTCACGACACGCAACTTGCGTAGGAGACCAGAGTACACGTTTCCCTGGCTTGTTAGCACCGGCACTTCGATTAAACATTACAGATGTAGAGACACAAGGAGCCTTCTATGAGCCATGGAGTGTCTTTACTGCAGCCAAGCTGCCTCTGGTGGAGGAAGCTGAGGCACCTGACACGATCTGAGAGCTAAGCCTTGGAGCTGAGTCTATGTCGGAAGGCCTCGTCCCAGAGTTCCTCCTTGTCTTTCGCTTCCTTCTTGGCTTTCCTCTTGATGTCCCTGATGAACGAGGGACACGCAGGCCTTGGCTGGAAGAAGGCACCCCCATTTCCCAAGCATGGCCCAAGATGCAGCAAGGCTCTGGACTTCTTGATTCTGGATTACCAATGTCGAGTGCAGCCAGGCAACACCTCGAGCTCCGTGGCATCCGAATGCCAGTTGGAAGGTGGCGGCGCATTCTTGGCAGCCTCGATAGAGGGAAACCGGCGCAGAACCTTAGCTCCGCAACCAGCAAACAATATCAAAAGCTGCTGTCAACATGGGGAGTTTGGTTTAAATTTTGCAAGGAGACTTGCAGATGTTTTGTCGGATCCTTCTAGCATGCCTTGGTCCTGTTTGGCACAGAGCTTAATATAACGAAATTAGCTCCGAGCTTGTCGTGGTGCATATAACACAAATGTTAGACGGCACCCTGCAGTCCCGGCCCACATGCCTCTAGCCGGTGTCATTCATGGCAATGCGGGCTAAACAAGCTCCTACACGAGTCCGGGCAACTCGCTCGCATCCATGTCAGCACCGTTCAATGGAAACTATTTGGGTGCCGGAACACCACCCTGAGGACATGGCCATTAATGTCTCAAAAAAAGCACGCACAGTCGAGCCCGGTGGCATAAGTAGGTACATCTGCCAGGCGCAGGATATCCCCCTCGCGGAGCTGCAGGACCGCGTCTTTGGCTATGCGCTGCCCGTTGACATGTGTGCCATTTTTGGACTTGTCTTTGACGAATACGGAGAGATGTGCCGCAGCGTGCTGCTTCCATGGAACCATCAAAAAGAGCTCCGCGTGCTCCTTTGATATGCCATCATGGAAGATATGAAGGTCGCATTGCATCGAACTCCCAAGCACAAAGTGGGAAGCTCCCCAAGGTGCCAGGAGAAGACGTCGCTTTGCAACAGCTGCAGCGGAGAAGGACTGGAGTGGGAACAACTCGAAGATCGGGCCATTGGATGCGTTTTCTGGCCGCGGTGGCAGTTCTGATGAGATGCCATCGAGCCAAAATTTGGACTTTTTGCCCTCCTGCTCCGTGACACGCTTGAGTAGGTTTCCGTAAGTTCCGTAGACTGCACGCACCAAGGATAGATCCCTCTTACCGGGCTTTCCTGACAGGGGATTGTTCAAGCAGCGCCCGGTGAGCTTCAAGTAAGCAGACTTTGGCCCACCTTTGGCATAGCGCACCACCAGCTGCACTGTCTCAGAGGCCTCCCCATGCCATGCAAAGCTAGCTTCCATGACCTCGCCAAAGACTTGCGCAAAGTCATGCCAGTGACTGCCAGCGGCACAAGCAACAGGAGGATTGCTTGGCAGCTTCCCTTTCTCAAAGGCCCAGTGCGCCGGTAATGTAAGGCTGACAGAATCGACTGGAAGCTTCTTGGGATTCCAGCTCTCCTTGAGGTAAGGGACATGGTTGTGAGAGGCAGTGTCGAGGGTATCCCGCCAGCTCACCGTCACATCGTCCAAAAGCTTCAGGTTTTTCCATGTTCTGCGCAGCTCAGTGCACTCTTCCGCCTTTGCAAGGAGGCAGACGAAGAGCCGCCGGGTACTGTCGAAGTCCTCCGCCAGGATGGACACCACTGCTTCAGCGCCCAAAGCTTCGGTCAGCTTCGTGGTCACCTCCCTTTTCAGCTTGGAGACCGAAGCTTCACCCTCAACCTTTATGTCAGCCCAAATGCAGGCGCCAACTTCAACTGCCTTTTTTCGCCAGGATGCCCACCGCCGCTCCCACTGGAGAGAGGCTCGCTTAGATGGCATCTCACTGCCCAGCTGTCCGTGAGGCGATGCCTTGGACGCCTTTGTCTCCGGCCCTCTCGGCCCTGGCCCAGATGTCTTTGCTGTGGCTCCGGCGGTTTCGGGGACGTTCGCGGCGCTCGCCGGAACCTTTGGCGCTGCGGTCGGCTTCGCCTGCGCTTCCGCCAGATTTGGCTTCGCAGGTTGTACTCGCGCGGCGGCCGGTGGAGCTTGAGATGCCTTGCTCCTCACTGGCGGCGTGAAGGGCTCTGCACGGCCCGGGCGCATTGCGCGAAACCGAACTAACTACTCTTTTATGTCCCGTCTCCACAACCCGAGATCCTTGAGTGTATGGTCTTCTGCGGCTGGGTTGCCTGGCTCGTGAAGCCGTCTTGGCCCATGGTGCTGGGTTGCTTCTGTTCTGAGCTTGCGCTGCCATGGTGCCGAAGCCAGCTACAAAATCCAGAGCGGCAGCGGCATGATGACGAATTCACAGCTGAAGTTCAAGTTCGACATGCCGAGTGCTTGCGCTGCACTGCTGCATTCAATGCAATCAGAAATTCAGCAGCAGCAGGTGGCAGCAGGATGCTTAAATCCCCTCGGTGGGGAGACACCTGGAGCTGCGTGCAAGACAACTCAATCTCGTCAATCGCCTTTGTGATCTCCTGTGCTCTTCTTCGCCGGAGCCACGAAAACACCAACTCACAGCTGGAGGCTGCCACACGGCTTTACTACCCCACCTCAATTCGCCCCTTGAGCTTGTCCTCAAAGAAAAAAGGCGTGAAAGACCACAAAAAACGGAGCGAGGCCCGGGGCCCAGGCTTTCAGTTTCTCCAGCTCCTTCTCGCGCTCTTCGCGGCGCTTCTTCCGCTCCAGATCGATCTTCTTCTCACGCAGGATGCCGACCTGAACCTCCCGAAGCGAAGAGAGCATAAGACGAGGCCATCATCACCCGCTATAGCCGCTATATTGCACTTTAGAATGCTCCTGCAACTTAGGAGGAACCTGGAGAGGCTTCAAAGCTCTGATTTGTGGATTTAGATTTTTCGCTGCTCTTGCCCGGAAATCAGGTGAGCATCCATGCGGAAACGAAGCGTTGACGAGATACTTGACCGTCTGCAACAGCCGTTGGAAGACGGATGAGGAATGTTGGAAGAGTCCTGCGGTTTTGACTTCGATGAAAATCGGCCTGTTTGCCGCTTGGGGCGTCTAGAAATCAGAGCGACGAAGAGAAGGCGGTAGGGGGGCGCATTTGTAGTACGGTCCCTGGTCATGTGCTTCATCAGCAGCCCTGACATCACTTAAGTGGCGAAGCAGGGGGTGGCTGGCCCAACTTCATCGAAGCAACGGGGGGTTCACGTGCGCTGGTTACAAAGTTAGAGCGGCAGGGGGGGGAATAGAGACAGAGGGTTGCAGAGGGTGATGGAGAGTAAGGAAAGTTGAAAGCAAAGGAGACAGAAAGCCTAAGCCCTAACCAAACCCGATAGCTCCTGAACCCCAGGCCCTAAAGCCGTAAACCCTGAACCCCAAGCCCAAAACCTCTAAAGGGTCTGGCTGGTGGCCTTGGCTCGCTGGAAATCCTCGGTGCGGACGCCCTTGGCGCCCTCGGCAGTGAGCAACCTCAACGGTTCGCAGCTGCAGAATCACGGCGACACAACCCGACCCATGATCGGCTTTTCTGAGTCTGCAACCGGAACATCCCGTCCACCTTGACACACCAGCGTGCCAAAAGCGCAGCAACGGCTTCCCCCGTTTGGGTTCCCCGCCGAGGCGGCTGTTAAGGTGCACTTGAGCTCCGCCTGCGCGTACCTGTATTGCGATATGTTGCGACTGTGCAGGGCTTCTGGGGTGACGTAGGCTTAAACTATCGGCACCAGAGCTATGCATCCATGAAGTCATGCGAAACTCAAGAGATGTAACTGCATTAGTGGCCAGCACTGTCTCTCTCTGCCGCTGCATCCACACGGTCTCACTAGGTGGGGCAACACAGCACCCGCAATTCTGCCCCACGGTTTAGCCCAAATTCAGCCCCTTTCTGATTCTGAAGAGTCCCTTTGAAGTTGAAGGCCTGGGTTTGAGCCGTAGCACTGTGCGTGGCAGCAAATAAACTGCCCACAATTTGCTGGATGAAGGCCCGTCTTCTGCTCACTCGATGTACTCACGCCTCTCCGGGGCACTTCTTCAACTCTGCCTTCTCCAGCATGCCGTCCTGCAACTTGCAATCTCACGGAGTTTGTTGGGTGCTCTTTTGGCACTCTCGCAACTCGGACAGGGCCTGACGAGGTCTCTCGGGTTCTCTTTTGGGGTTTAGTCTTGAAGCTTGGGTATATAGCAGAATCAGACCGTTTGCTGACGCACCCTTTTTCCGCTCGTCAGCAGGCCTTGTCGCTGGTCGCGGCAGCTGAGCTGAGGAAGGAAAGTGGAAGAACTCTCACAGCATCAAGCCTTCCTCATAAAGCACTGTAGTTGCCCGTATACAGTATACTAAAACATATTACAATATAACGGAATATAACAACACTCAATATAGGAGAGAATGCCATGTGACGTGGTACAGTAGATTATGTTCTTGGCTTCAACTTTCCTCTTTGCATCACGCGGGTGCCCTCAGCTCGAGGCTCGATCCTGAGAAGACGCAGAGGCTCGACTTGTCGGTCTGAACAGGCTTCAACACGGAGCGAAGACAGCAAAACCTCTCCTTGCCTGCATCTGTCATGCGGCTGTAGCGGCAGAACGTTCTGCCTCCAAGAATCTGCGTGGAGCTGAAATGGGTCAGCCAGCATGGGGCCAGCTGCTCTACGCTTAGAAACCGCAGCTTCGCACGGCCTGCTTCTGGAACGCGGCAATCATCTCGCGCAGCTCCTTCGAAGGTAGGATACTTCAAGGGCATGCTCATGTCGCCCCCGCATGCCTTCTCGGCGTCGTCTTTGCGCTTCTCCAACTCCTGACTGGCCTTCTGCATCTTTGGCAGCTCCTCCCACCCAGAGTCTTCCAGACTCTGCACTTCACATGCTTCGGGCTTTGGGATGTTTTTGCCCAAGTCCTCATCTATGCTGTCCATTGTCTGCTTCATCTCGTCCTTGGCATTGTTCTCGAAGACCACTAGTCACTAGACACAGCTACTCCTTCACCACATCTCGGTCTAGGCTGTAGATCTGTCCATCTATCCGTCTATGCAGGTACACGCCAGCATGCGACCGTAAACCCACTGCAAGCTTCGCTAGCACAGGTGATGACGGGCTGATGCCGACCCCGCTGCCGAAGCGAAGACTCCGGGCCTATGTCTACACCTGCACAAAAATTGCCCTCCACACACAGATGGAACGTCTTTCAAGCAACGGCTCTAGAATTGGCTGCCGGTCACCCAGCAGGAAGCAGCGGCCCACCCCACGGTAGAGTTTGGTATCCTCCGGCGTGGAAGTGACTGTCCTTGGCTTGCGGCTTCTCTACCAGAGCAGGTTTCTGGCTTCCTCCAGGTGGCTGCTGCGTGAGCTCCAGCCGAACTCGTTGCCGCTGCTTGCTGGCGAAGGACGCCTCTTGACGGATCGGGCTCAATAGTCGAAATCTTCGGCGGCTACGGCGAAGTATCGAATCTCCCCTTCGTGTTCCTGAAACTTGAACACGCAGTTCCACCGGAGCCTGAAGTCTAGCCAGCTGCTCACTCAATCCAGAGACCTGCCAGAGACGCAGGGGCATCGCTGGGCAAACTCTGAGGTCTAGTCAAAGGCAGACCTTCTCCTGGACTGCCATGGCTTCGTCTGCGTTGAAATCACGGTTGGCCATCGTCCGGGCCTCTGCTCGCCTCGGGCACCAGAGGGTCGGTCACTTAGGGCTTTGTTCCCTTAGGGTTTAGGGTTTAGGGGTTTAGGGTTTGGGGCTTAGGGTAACAATTCAGGGAGTTCTTGGACTCTTTGGCGCCTCTGCTGCTGCCCTGCCAACTTCTCGGCACAAGAGTCCCGGAGCTTCATGAGATCCGAGTCTCCGGGCCTTACGAGCAAGACTCATTGACACTTCCCTACCATAGATGATCATACTGAGGCTGTGACGCCTGCTTCAGCCCTGCTTCGCAGAAGTCGATTCCATTCCGACAGAGGTCCAAGTGAAGCGAGGCTCTGGCCGCACGCCAGTACGCCTCAACGGCACGGCAGACGAAGCTTCCTTTCGGACTTTAGGATCGCGTGCCACATGCAGAAGCTGCCTTGATGTTCTTCGGATCCTGCTCTATGGCTCTTCGGCAATCGTCAACCTGCCCCGATGGCTCAAGTCTCACTCAACCTGCCCCGATGGCTCAAGTCTCACTGCGCCAGTTGGACTCGAACAGCAGCAACACGAGAAGGGCGCACCGCTTCCACGAACTGCCGCAGGAGCAGCCGCACGTGGGCACGATTGCCTGTGGATGTACCCCCTGACTTGCTTGAGATGCAACTCTTTGCTGTGCTGTTGTTTATTGGGCCGCAGTGTAGTATATGATGTAGGCTCCAGAAGCGGCTCCAAGCTTTGTTTGAAATCTGCCCTGTCGAGGGAGTGATGCTGAAGGGTCACAGTTCCATGAAACAGCACATGTAGCCTTGCAGCCAACCAGTGAACAAGCCTCTCGAGGCCAAGCCTTTTGCTTTCTGATGTGTTCACGCGAGATTCGGATCCTGCTGCGCTCGTAACTTTGCTGCTATCACTACATGTAGCCTTGTTGTGCGTGCTGGAGGTTTACTTGCCAGTGGCTGCAGTGCTCTCTCGACATGTTTCGCTGTTCGAAGAACCTGTGCGTTTGTAATATGTCTCACATTCTGGAAATAAGCTGTGCAGGCATTCCTACATGGTTGCACACTGCTATATTCTGCGGGCGGACTTTTGTGTGCTGTTGTGTGCGGTATCATCAGGTCTTGCATCCTGGGTTTTTGTCAAACCTCATGGTGTTAAACATGTTCGGCTCATCGTGTTGCCATAAGTTGTTGGACACATGCATCTGTTCATTTGCAGCCATGTACTGCTGCATAACCTGATACTGCCTTCCTAAACCCTCGAAACCTAAACCCTAAAAAACTCCAGGTCTCCTACGGCCTGGAAGCCGAGAAGAGAGAAGCTCGAGTTGAGCATCTCCAGTTTCCAACGAGCCCCAAAGCAGGCCGGTTTAGGGCTTTTTTCCCTCCCACTTAGGGTTTAGGGCTTAGGGCTTAGGGGCTTAGGGCTTAGGGTTTAGGATTATGCGCTTTTATCTGCCATCCTATTTTTTGTAGTGCACTATCAAGAGGAAACACAACAAAAGAAAGGCCCGTTAGTGCATGTGGTTCGGATCCAATGATGTTGTCGGGGTACTGTAAAGCTGCGCATTCAGCTTCGGATCGCTGCACCGCACTTCCAAGCCTCAGTCAGGAATGGCATGAAATGCAGCATGCTTGAGTCGTGTACCATGCTTTACTCTATGCATTCACGCGTTTTCGCTGCGCCAGGTTGGTCTTTGCGAGCAGCCACGGCCTTGCACTGTGGTCCCGCGGCAGAATAGCTGTCAACCTGTGCTTTCTGTGGGAAAGCTGAAGGCGGAGGCATCCTTGCCCCGGGCACCACACGCTCGTGGGCTCAGCTGCAGCCATGGGGTCGTTTCGCACCTTCGCCGCCTCCTCGCCACTGCAGTCTGTCTTCAGGTGAGCCATCTGCGGAGCACGGGCGCCGCATGCTCTGGCTTGTGAAGCTTCGCCGAACGCGGAGAATTGGCATCAATACCGCCAAGCAAGTGTGCGATTTGTGATGCTGTCGCTCCAGGTCGGCATGTGAAGACCAAATGCCACATAATCCTACCAGGGTCAATGCTGCATGCTTCATCGCACAGCTGCCAAACATCGGCTGCAGGACCACACCCCCACTACACAAAACCCATCTCAAAAACAAACTTTGAATATTCCCCCCTAAACCCTAAGCCCCAAACCCCAAAGCCCCCTTGGAGTCAAAGTGCACCGGCCCAAAATACCTCAGGTCCTTGGCCACATGCCGCAAGACTCGCTCCAGGGCCTCCTGGAAGCCGCAACGGAGACCCCCAAAAAGAAGTACGATATATATATATATAGATATAGAAAAAGAAATAGATATAGATATAGATAATATAGGTATATAGATATATAGATATAATAGATATATAGATATATAGATATATAGATATAGAGATATATATATATATAGAGATATAGACCATGCGATGACGGTTTAGGATTTTTGCCTCCCACCTAGCTAGGACGAGCCCGCATTGCAGGGTACCATTTAGGGTTTAGTATTTAGGCTTTCGACTCACACACTCGCACAACGGCAGGCATGAGCTTGCTACTTGCACATGACGTCCGCAAAGCAGCTAGAGAGCCAACAGAAACAGCAACGCACCTGCCCAATAAAGGGGGCCATAGAACATAGAGGGTTTAGGGCTTAGGGTTGCACGAGTTTGTCAACCTGTATAGACTTGAATCTATCTGCTCACATGCCTGTTGTTCTTTCTTCTTTCTGGCCCTTGTGCCTGTGATATGCCCGACCCGCCGTTCCTGCATGGGCAAGCAATACTCATCCTCATCCTGCTCTTTTATTTTTTTTTGCTTGGGAGCCCTGTCCGGTGGACCATGGGGAGGGAATGTGTGTAGTTAGGTCCCCCGGAAATCTCGTTCCGAAACCTAGGTCTGAATGATAATTCAGAGCCGCTTCACTGATTCACGCTTCGACTCCGTACTAGGGCCAGCTCATCTGGAGTGTCCTCGAAATTCCAAACAGTCAATCTCCCTCTCCCTCTAAAGTATCGTGGGGTGCATGTGGAAAGCAACGTGAATATGTGCGGGCGAGCAAACAGACCCGATGTGGTCGTCCGACCTTGGCATGGGGTTGCCTCTCTGCCCTTCTCCACGCAGCAAGAGCTCTCTGTCTCATTCTCACTGTGCGAACACATATGGACACATGTGCATGTACCCGCTTGGGCGAGCCGATCTCCTGATCGTAAAACTGAACAAACATGCTGCTGTCATCTTCGCGGTAGGTGGTCGTGCGCTGGGCCGCCAACTTCGTTGCATGACCGGCTGCTGGGAAATATGCATCTGCAAGTGCTTCCGATAGCTCGAACGACAAGCCAAGAACGGCGTGCAGCATCTCGAAGATCTGCCAGTTGACTGCCGAGCGGTCGGATGTCAGCAGGCCAGCAAAATCGATGCGCTGCCAGGTCAGCTTACAGCCATGGCTCAAGTAGAGAGATTGTGGAATCCAGTGATCATTCACTGACATTCCAAGTGTGGGCAGCTGCGATGCGAAAGCACGAAATGCCCGCACCTGCTCTCCAACGGGACTTTTTGAAGTCACCGTCTCCCAGCCCTGCCGATGAGTCTCTGAGCAGAGGTTGCTAAATCGCATGCACTTGTCCATGAACGCAGAGAGGAACCGCTCCAGTGGATCACGCAAGAAAACTGCGAGCTTCCACTCGGGCTGCTTCCAGTAAAGCTGGTTCACGCGAAACCGGGTGCCGACTTCGTGCGCACGGAACTCTGTCTGCACGATGTCACTGTAGGTCATATTGTTGCCATCCAGGCGATGATTCAGGAGAAAAAACTGCATGAGACCCACCTTAGGAATAGAGCAGAGGGCGTACCGATACTGCTGGTTGACGTGCATCCGATAGATGTAGGCTCCCCATAGATCACGGAAAAAGTCCTGGGTCGCCTTCCGTGCAGTAGAAGTCCAGAAAGCCGACTGGGCCGGCCAGGCAGCGGGATCCAAATACCACGCAGGCATGCGGGACTCGCTCCTCAAACGTTCGAGGAGGGTCCCCAGCTGCCGCGCCCTTGCCGCATCTTTAGAGCGACTGATCCGAAGACGCACGCGACTTCGAATCGGAGCTCTCACACCAGCTTTGCCTGAGTGCCCGTGCATCAAAAGCAGAACGTGCCACCCAAGCGATAGCTCACTGGCTCGCGAGCAGTGGCTTGGTACACAAAGGCCCATCAACCGCAGACTCGAGGCGTTTGGAAGAAGCTCAACTTGTCGCCCAACGGCCCAATAGCCCGCCAGCAGCCTGCCTGCTATGCCGGTAGAAGATATGTCCCGGGTCCATTGCTGACTGGCCTCCAGTCCATGTGAGTACAGAATGTAGCGCGCACCCAAACCTATGCACTCCTGCAGCTGTAACCACCAACCCTCTCCGAAGAAAGACTGGCCACTGGCCTTCGCGAAGCGACTGTCCGAGTTGAAGGAAGCCAAGCACCGTTCATGTTGCCTTCCGGTGGCTTTAGCACGGATCCCACTCCTCTCCACCAACAGCTCGTTGGAAATCCATTTCTTCAGTCTTGACCGCACGGATGTCCCACGCACTTCGGCAGCGGCACAACAGATCAGGGCACCCCAACCGGCCACGACAAAGACTGGCTGCATGCAGGGCCTGTTGGTGCAGCCTATTTGTAGCCGAATGTTATTCAATAATCCCTTCCCCTAACATTAAACAGGGGGGTTGCTTCAGTCAGAAAAACCTCGGAAAGTGTGCTTAGTTTTAGGGGTATGTTTATCTCTGCTGCCACTGTTGAGGGGTCGGGCTCTTGCTCCTGCTTTGGCGCTTGCTCCCGCGCTGGCTTTTGCTTTTGCTTCTGCCGCATCTCTTGCACCTGCTCCTGCTCTTGCTGTTGCTCCCGCTGGTGCTCCTGCTCTTGCTCTTACTCCTGCTTTTGCTTTTGCTTTGCTCTTGCTGTGCTGTAAGGGTATTTGGAGCCTCGAAGCCCTGCCCCCTAATTCAGAATAGGTTTTACAGGGCAGNNTGTGTTTAATACAAGGAGGAAGGGATTACCTTCCGGACATCTGCATGACTCCTTGAGCCTGATCCGCTGGCACTGGACCACGCGAATCCGACACTTTCACAAATCGGAGATGCGTTGAACGAGGCATCGGAAAAACATCGAGGTCGAGATCTGCAAGACCAGAGGTTACTCTGCAAATTCCTGGCGCCCCTGCCGCTGGTAAACAGCTCTAAGGCTNNTCGCTGCGGACTTCGTGTTGTCCTGCGACGGCGTGCGGACGAGAAATCGAACTATCGCCTCCTTTCCGGAACTCCACTCCTAGGTCCCAGGTCGTCCTTCAAGCGATCGTTGCCCTTCTTCTTAAAAGCTTCTGCCTTTTGGCCTCGAGAGCTTCCCCAGGAGCCCATCATGGACCGAGCATCGATCTGGGTACTCTGAAAGAAAAAATGGGTACTCTGAGCTGGGCACAAAGCTCCAGTATCGCACTGGGATCCTCTGCGGCAGTTTCGCTGTCCACCTTGTCGCGAGAGCACCACAGACAAATCTAAACCCCTTTTTTTCTAACCAAACCCTTTTGAAACCGAAACCCTAAAGGCCCGGAGAGCGCACTCCCTGCCTCCG